CTCTCGCTTGCGCACGACCACGCACACCCGCGCACGGCGGATCGAAACAGCGGAGAGAGCCCCCGCACTTGCGCCCTCACCTGCGCACGAGCTTGCGGATGTCTGCGCGCACATGCGTGCACACTTGCTCTCACTTGCGCACGACCACTCGCACCCGCGCACGGCGGATCAGAAGAGCAGGGAGAATCTCGCACTTGCGCGCATTTTCGCGTACACGCGCACACACTAGCGGGCATCGGCGCGCACTTGCGCGCGTCCTCGCGCACACGTGCGCACACTTGCGCACGACCACGCGAACGCGCGCGCACACTACCGGCCACCACGCGCTGCTGCGCGCGCACTCGCGCAAGCTGCGAGTGACGAGGGGAAGGTGCGCTCCATTGGCCATCATCGCGCGCTCTGAGAGGGGGGTTCCCGGCGGAGATAGAGAGCAACGCGCCTACTTGCTCGCCATCGGGATTGGCCAGGAGAGAGTAACGCGGCACAGCTCCCGACCTGCGCACCTACGCGCTCATGCACGGGGACGATCGGGCTGGGTGGGGGCGAGAGTGGTATCACCCACTCATCTGCGCACTTGGGCGACCGGAAGCGGAGGCAAGAGAGCTCCTTGGGATGCAGTTCATCACCGGCCTAACTCGATCTCCAGGGAACACCGCCAGAGCACCAGGCGAGCTGGGCCTTTGAGAGGACAGGGTCTCGGGCATAGCCGGGCCACCGAGCGTAGGGAGCCTAATGGACATTTTACCGAGCGGACCTTTTACCGGAGCGGCACTCTACCGGGCGGGGCTTTTTCCACCGAGGGGGTACTTTTTCCGCGGGCACTTTACCGGACAGGCACGTTTTACCGAGCGTATACTTTATCGGGCGGGCACTATATACCGAACGGGCACGTTATCGAGTTGCCATTATACCGAGCGGGTACTTTACCGTGCGGACATTTAGCTGAGCAGATACTTTACCGAGGGGATACTTTACCGAGCGGATACTTTACCGAGCGGATACTTTTACCGAATGAATACTTTACCGAGCGGATACTACACCGAAGGGACACCTTTACCGGGCGGCCACTTTCACCGAGCGGACACTCTACCGGACGGGCGCTTTACCGCGGGGACTCTTTTACCGAGTGGACACTTTACCGAACCGACATCTTAGCGCACGGACTCTTTTACCGAGTGATCACTTTTACCGAGCGGGCACTTTACCGAAGAGGGCCTCTCGAGCGGGTACGTCGTGAAGCAGGCTTTCCAAAGGGGTACTTTCGTGAAGCGGGCTATCCGAAGAGGTACGGCCGAAGATGACTTCTCGAGCGGATACTTCGTGAAGCAGGCTTTTCGAAGGGGTCCTTTCGTGAAGTGGGCTTTCCGAAGAGGTACGACCGAAGGGGGCTTCTCGAGCAGGTACTTTCGTGAATCGGGCTTTCCGAGGAGGCACATCTGGACCAAGCCTTTCCGAAGGGGTACATCCGAACTATGGTCACGGTCGATCTGGAGCTTTGGCCCCGATGGGCGAGGGAGGCTACATCTAACACTGAGAGTTCGAGCACTATTCCCTGGGATCGACGGGCGCGTTACAGGCGCCACCCAATCGGGAGGAGGATTAGGCGACGTTTGTTGACTAGGTCTGTGGGGACTCAGATGGGCTTTCCAAACACAGGGGCGAGATGTACGGCTGAGGCCGGAACTAGTGTTTCACATCCCATTGTTTTGGATTGAATGCAGCTACTTCTTTTATTTATGCTAGACAGTGTTCCATGAGTTTCTTCCAACATTGGTCACGGTATGCCACGGTACTTGTTTTTGTGGATGTGGACTGACATGTTTTGTGCAGGTTACAGGAGCCCCGACCGACCCTCCCGCGGGTGACAGACGCGGTGCGAGGCATAGGGTTCGGACGGCGTGCCGGCAGACCCCTTTTACCGGTCGACAACGGGGACCCAGGAAGTATGGTTGGGGTATGAGGCTGAGCGTCTAATGGGCACCGTTGTAGGTGGCTCCCCAAGACTAGAGCTGCATAGCCCTGTGTACTTCCGTACCCCTGGGAGTGCACGCGCTCAGTGTGTGAGTGGTAGTGCGTCAACCTAACGCCGTGCCGGCGGCATATGCACGAGGCTGCGGATTAGAACACGCAACCTCAGACCACAATGTGCACTTCCAACCGGTGCCCTAACCACTGGGCCATTCGTACTGAAAATCAAAATTAGGTGGGCTTTTGCCATTTTGCTCTACACAAGATGTCTATACTCGTTGAGCTCATCGTAGGGCATCTGCGTTGTCTTCTAACAGATCTGCCGCTCCCGCCAGCATTCCGGTGTGCACGTGCGTGCGAGCGGGGAATAGGTGAGGAGGGAGGTCGCGCGCACGTGCGCGCAGGGGAAATCGGGGTCGGGCAGTAGGAGAAGCGCAGGGCGGGGGGGAGCAGATTTGGGGAGGAGTGGCGGGATGGCTCGATCAGGGGGGTGATGTGTTGGGGTGGGGGATAGCAGAAGGGCGCAACTAGGACAAGGGGCGCAGGTGGGAGGGGAGTCGGGAATCGAAGTTGGGAGGAAGTGTCAGGATCGGGCAGGGAGTGGAAAAGCGAGTGGGGGGAATAGGGAGAAAGTGGCACCGGGCTAGCGAGAATGGATGCCGGGAGGGTAGTGGGGTTGGGCGCGAGGCAGAGCGGGGTCGGGATCTATGAGGAGGGGAGGAGGGGAGGAGGGACGCAGCGGTTGACGTGCGCTACCGCGGGTAGGGGGGGGAGTTACATGGGGAAAGGTGGGGCGTGGTCGGGGAGACTGGAACGGGAAGGGGGAACATGGGATGACGTGGCAGGAGGTTGCGATCGGGGTAGGACAAGGTCGGGAACGAGTGTGATTGGTGGGCGAGATGGGAGGTCGGGATCAGGAAGTGAGGGAAAGGGGGAGATCGAGAGGAGGGGCATCGGGATCGGGATTGGGAGGGGTAGATGGCGGGATCAGGATTGCGGAATTGGTGGGAGAGTGCGCAATGGGTCGGGCAGCAGGGGAGGGGGGATCGCGTGCACGTGCATGCGGGGGTAATTGGGATCGGGCGAGGGGCCTGGTAGAGAGAGGGATCGGGATGGGGGACACGCGGAGCGGGGGTTCAAATAGAGGGGGCTCGGAGTTGGAGGGGGGTTGGGGGAAATGAGTCGCGCAGATCAGGCAACGCGCGTAGGGGTGGGTTTCAGGATCGGGGAGGGGAGTAGTATCGGGATCCGGCAGGCAGTGGGCTGCAGTGGGAAGTTGTGAGCGGTTGATGGATCAGGGGGAGGGGGAAGGTTAGGCGCACCGGGGAAAGAGGGGGGAGATCGAAGATGAAGCGAGGAGAAGGAGAAGAGGAGGGACGCGGGATAAGGAAGCCAATCGGGAGGGAGAGCCAGAGTCGGGATTGAGACAGGAAGAGAATCGGGATCAGCGGCGGGGGGGGAAGGAGGTGGGCAAAGCGAGAAGAAGATGGGGGAAGTCGGGATCAGAGGGAGATCAGGGGGGAAAAGTCGGCGTAAGTCGTGGGGGTGGAGCAGTGGGGGTGGAGCTGGTCGTTGGGGGGGATCGTGTGGTGGGGGGTCGCGGTCGCCGTTGGTCGCTATCCAGGTGGAGTCGGGGTCGGGGGATAGAGGTAACGGGGAGGGGAGAGTCGAGGGGTGCAACCGTGCAGGTAAGAGGGAAGGAGGGGCTGACGTGGCGGGGTTGAAGGGAAGCCGTCCACGTTCACTGATCCTTCCGCAAGTTGCCTGCGGACACCTTGTTACAACTTCTCCTTCCTCTAATTGATAAGGTTCAATGACTTCTCACTGCACCACCGGCTGCAGGCCGCCAAAGTTACCACAACTCAGATACTTCTCTTGGCCAATCGATGGGTAGGAGCCATAGGCGGTGTTCGTGCCAGCAGCACCTGGTCGAAGTCAGCAGCCAGTAGGAGATTCCCAACAGCTGGAGCAGTGCCTTCTTGGAGCAGGAGGAAGTGGCCAACTTGGATGACGAACGTATCTGGCCTCGTTGACGGACCAGGTGCAGACCAGGTGCAGATTCAAAACAATCGTATCCATGGTGGCAGGATAGCGAGAGAGAGAGAGGGAGGGAGGGAGCAGAGGTTTGAGAACCTGCTCCTATACCAATGTGACGCACGTGCGGAGGGCACGTGCGGAGATGGAGAGAGAGAGAGAGAGAGAGAGAGAGAGAGAGAGAGAGAGATGGACACACACGAGAAGCAGCAGCTGAGTGAGGGTCCAGTCCGACTCAATGAAAGAGTGAACAACTGAACGAGTGACCAACCCAGCCTGGGCTTAGGCCAGAGAGATATACCGGCCTTGGGGTCTCGTTAGACACTCCTAAAAGAATCCTAAAATTTTTAGGACGAGTCCTAAAGGATTTTTAGGATTCCGTGCGGCGCCGTTACATGCAGTCCTAAAAATCGTCTTTTAGGATTCGTCCTAAAAGGTCTCCCGCGGCCCATTCTCATATTCGTATACGCAGCCGCGTCGCCGATGTCCGACGGGTCCTGGCTGGTGTCCGTGGTACACACTGCGGAGGCCTTGGGCGGGCGAGGAGGGGTGGGTGAAAAGCGCGGTCACCCCGAACTTGAAAAATTCAAATTTGAATTTTCACAGACGCAAGGCGGCAGGGGCGGAGGACGGCCGGGCGACGCGTCTGACGTACAAAAGACGGCGCTGGCGAAGCGTTCGGTGCGGGTATCCATCTTCCGAGTCCACGCGAGTTGCGAGCAGCGGGGGCAACTTCCGGCAAGGCGCATCGTCGCCACCATCGTTGTGTGCTGTCTTGTGGACTCCAACGCACGCCATCTTCTGTTGCAGCGTACGTCAGCGGCCGCATCTACGGGTCCGGTGTGCGTGTCTCTCTGCACTTGGTTTAGTAGCGGGCGTGTCTTCGGCGTTTGTGGCAGGCATCACGCTCTTCGGGGAGGAAGATTCCCAGAGATGGACCTTCGCGTCAGCGGGCACGGTCTGCGCAAAGAGGAGATCGACGCGGTCGCGATGGCGGTCACTGCCGTCTTCGTGAACACGATGGGCGGCATGTCGTCGTCCTCAAGCGACATGTTGACACAGCTCCGAAAACGAAGAGCGCTGTTGCAGCGCATTGCCGAAGCGCCGGATTGCGTGGCAACGTGTGAGGCAGTCGTCCAGTTGTGCGCCGCGCTGTCATCTGGCATTTTCCCGCGGCGGACCCCGCGTTGGTGGATCAAATGACGGACTGGCGGGACATGGGAGGATCTCCGCCTCTGTGATGACGCGACGGACGAGTATTACCAGCAGAAGTCGCGCATGTCATTGGCTATGTTCAGGCAGATCGTTGCCTCGTGCGCCGCGTACGTGGAGAAGAAGGTGACGCACTATAGGATGCCTTTGGCAGTGGAGTAGGTGATCGCTTTCGCGTTGTACAGGTGGGCGTCAGGAGAGACGTACGAGAGCGGCACTTCGTCCTTCGGCATCGGCAGGGCAACTGGACTGCAGGCCGTCCGCGACGTCACTTCGGCGCTGCTGCAGGCGTACCCCGACGCTATCAAGTGGCCAGTTGGCCGTAGACGTGCGCAAATTCTGCGCGCATTCCGTGACAAGGGTTTCCCAAACTGCTTCGGCGCGATCGACTGTACACACATTTACATTGACTAGCCCGCTGGCGCACCTTTCGACAACTACTACGACCGCAAACAAAAGTTCTCCGTGCAGGCGCAGGTGGTGGTGGATTTGGATCTGCGGATTCTCGATGTCCCCATCGGATACCCGGGAAGTGTGTACGATGTACGCGTCCTGCACAATTCCCAGCTGTGGAGGCGTGCAGAAGCTGGCGAGCTGTTCGACGCACCTCCGGAGAATCTGCCGCACGGTGTCGTCACGCGAGGTTACCTGCTAGGCGACAACGGTTATCCAGTTGCCTGTCCATGGATCGTACAACCGTACGGAGGAATCGACCAACATCCTGACAACGAGCGCTTCAACACGCGGCAGAAGGTGGCGTGGGGGTGTGTGGAGAGGGCATTTGGGCGACTGAAGTGCATGTGGCATCTGTTTTTGCGCACCCACAAGACGAACCTGGAGACCTTGCCACGACAATTCGTGGCAGTGTGCACTCTCCACAACATCCTCCTCGGCGCGGGGATCGACTTCGATGAGAACCTTTTGTGGGAGGTGAATGAGAACGGCATTCGTCGTAGAGTAGACTTGGGGATTGTGGGGAACGGCGCGGGCGGGCAGCGACAGAGCATGAACGTGGACGGGGACTTGTTGCGGGATGCACTTCGAGACCGCCTAACTCTGATGTAGGACC